TAGATAGATAGATAGATAGATAGATAGATAGATAGATAGATAGATAGATAGATAGATGACAAAAGGTTAGGGAAGCAGAGGTGCACAAGTCTCTGTGAATCTGTGAATCTCAGGTTTGCTGGTCTACCTAGCAAGTTTTTGGACAGCAAGGGCTATGTAGAGAGATGTTATCTCAAATAAACAGAATTCCATCAGACACAAACACATTTGATGTAGGAGAGTCTTCTATCTATCTGTTGCTTTCATTGGTTAATTAATAAAGAAAACTGCCTGGCCTGATAGGTCAGAACATAGGTAGGCGGGGAAGACAGAATTGAATTCTGGGAGGAAGAAAGCAGAGGCAGAGAGCTGCCTGCCATGAAGCTACCAGGTCAGACATGCTGAATCTTTTCTGGTAAGCCACGAGCTCATGGTGGCATACAGATTATTAGAAATGGGTTGAATCAATATGTAAGAGTTAGCCAATAAGAGACTGGAGGTAATGGGCCAGGAAGTGTTTAAAAGAATAGAGTTTCTGTGTAATTATTTCAGGGGTAAGCTAGCCGGGATCTTGGCAGGAATGCAGCCCACTGTTTCTTATTATTACACACAGTTTCATACCTCAAGGAAAAATAAATATCTTCTAAATGAACCCTTGAAGTAAGCAAAAGTGGGGAGACATTTACAGGAGACTTAGAAGATGTTTTGCGTTTTTTGTTTTTTTTTTTTTTTTTTTTTTTTTTTTTGCACGGGAAGGGGTTGTTGAATCAACCTTCCCCCAAATCACAATCTAATGACCATGAAGGAAAGGGACAAATCTCATCCAGGTAAAAAGTGTTCCTAAACAAACATGACGGATCACACCTGTAATCCCAGCACTCAGGATGTAGAGGCAGGAGGATCAGAAGTTCAAAACCATCCTCAGCTACACCACCTGCAAGGATCAAGCTCAGGTCAGAGGACAGAAATGCCTGGGTGTAGCCCAGCTCTGTGACCAGCAGGGCAGTGTACTATCCAGTGACTCACCTTAGCTGTCTGTTGTCCTCACCCAGAGGAGTGGGAAACCGGAGGGGTGTAGAACAGCCTGTGCACATACACACTGAGAGGGGTCACTGCGATATTGGGAGCACTGGACACACCCAGGTATTGAGCACTAATACAGTCAGGGAGACCCTCGTTTCCTGATCACTTCTCTGTACTTTCTTTTTTCTTTAACCTGTTCCCCTGTAGCTCAGGATGGCCTTGAACTTGCTGTGTAGCTGAACTTAAACTCCTAATACTGCTGCCTCTACCTCCCGAGTGCTAGGATGCTCTATTATCCTAGTTTGATACAGGAAATCAGACAGGGGCTTTGTTCGTGCTGAATGAGCATTCCACCATTAGGGCCACATTCCAGACTCTTTACTTTTCCCCGTATCTATGAGAGGATGAATGTATTGTTTTCAAATGTTAAGAGTAGCAAAACTAGCAGGCTGTGGTAGCAGGTGCCTTTAATCCCAGTACACAGGAGACAGAGGCCAGTCTGGTCTACAGAGCAAGTTCTAGGGCAGCCAGGGCTACGAAGAGAAACCCTATCTTGAAAACAGAAAACAAACAAAGTAATAATACCAGAAAAGCTTTTTCACTGAGCCTGAAAATAGGGTCTTACTGAGAGACATATTTAATGTTCTAGAAGTTCTTGTGGAGGTCTTCAACTGGGGCACAGATTTGACAGTGCCCCCTCACCCCCACCAATGGGAGGTCTTAAACTCTACTGACTCCCTTCTCAGGATGAGAATGTCTCTGAGACACAGGAAATACACAGGCTAAATCTTTGCTTCAGGTCAAGGAGAATGGCATTGAGAGCAAGCCCTTCTCCAGCTGCCCTGTTACTCACCAGCCCTTGGGGGCAACTTGCCTTGTGTTGTGTGTGCTGTCTTGCAGACTTGGTTCACAAGTCCCCAACTCCTGCCTGCCTTCTCCTATAAGCCTCCTGGTATCCCAGGCACCTTTGGTCACCACCGCCACCCCTATTTCCATCTTTTTCAAGTTCTGAAACTGGCTTTCCTTCTAGAGGTACTTCAAACGACTCCTGACATTAACAACCCATGTGGATCTATAGGTGGCTTGGAGTTCCCCAGGCCTTTGCTTTTTCTGGGACTCGCAGGATTGGCTCCTTACCTGGAAGGCTTCATGCTGTACTCCTTAATGAAGGAGGGCAGAATAAAGAGCAGGGTCAGCACAGCCAAAAACAGGACACCCTGAGTCCAACGCGTTCTGCTACAAAAGATCATCATGGTACTTGGCTGATTCCAAGAAGCATATCTTAGGGCTTGCTGTAGAAATTTGATTGCCCCCTTGCTCCGGTGTGCTGACCAGGAAGAGCAATACTTTAGCCTTACACTGAGGTGCTCTGGAGAGCAGGAGAGATAGAGGAAGGGTGGAGTATGCTTTAAGTTGGCATGGATTGGAGGAAGAGAAACTCCTAGTCAAACAACTTTATTTTTCTTTTAATCTCTGAAGCCAAATTCTGCCGAATTATACGAAACCATGTATCTGTCATAAACAGTATCGCTTTTATCTGGTCACTTCTTCTCCCAGCCTCATCCATAAATGAGAGAAGCGGTGGCGTCCACACTCAGGTGCTCACAGTAGGGACCCCATACACGGTCACCATTGTGGGTCAACTTTTTTAGCTTCTCTGAAATTGTGGCCGGAGCAGCAACAGCAAGCAGTGTGTCTGAGACTCGCTTGCATCCAGGGAGCATGGAAGGCTTCACAAAAAGCATCCAGGGCTGGGGAGAAGGTTTGGTGGTTGAGAGTACAGGCTGCTCTTGCAGAAGATCCAGGTTCAGTTTCCAGTACCCATATGGCAACTCACAACTGTCTGTAACTCAAGCTCTAGGGGATCTACTGCCCTCTTCTGGCCTCCATGGGGTCCTTCAATGCTTGAGCACAGACATACTCTTAGGTGCACACACATAATATATGTTTAAATAAGAGAGTTCTAAGCCTAACACAAAAGTATATACAATAAGAACAAATATCAAGTAGAAAAATTAGAATTATAATCAGCATAAACAATATCAAGCAAGAAACGTATGATAAATGTTTCAATAATCATTCTAGCCTATAATGTCTAAGTCTTGTATTAGAAATAACTTGGCCAAGTCACGAGAGGTAAGCAACTACAACTATCTATTCTTCAACCCCCACTGAAGGCCTGAAAAGGAAGATAATATGACTTGAATAAACAGGAAGTGCAATCAAGCAAAACATGCAGTAAATGACAGAAGACTGGCTACCTGGGCAGGGCAATCACCCAATGTCTCATTTGCAACGTTGGAGCAACCAATTTTGGCTAAGACCTAGATTAACTGACAGATCATTTTCAGAGCCAGGAAATTTTTCAAAACTGTCTTACCCTGTCTTGGCAAGATTTGGTGGTCTTTTTTCTTGAATCCTGCTTGTCCTATCCGGACTTCATGCATTTTGTCAGTGGTTGAGGCATGGGCAGTTCCTTGCCCAAAGGACAGTTGTGCCAAGAAAAAATACAAGCTCCAAATGGAGTGTCTTCGGTGTTCAACATTCTCTCGGGAACAGATCCGTACTGCCAGGAGTAATTGTGTCTCACATCAACAGAACCCTAAATTATTTAAATGCCACATTCTACAGTTTTTTGAAGTGGTTAAGATTACCTATCTATGTGGAATAAGTCTCTATGTATCTAAAGAACCTGATTAGTCTAACTATAAGTACGACAAACTAGATGACTATTGACCTATAATTCTTAATACCTATATAGCTTAAAGATGAAGGCTTCATATTAAAATATTAAACAATCTTTAAACAATTGTGCAGCAAATGAGGAAAATGACCTCAAAATATAAACAATGTATAATTATCTTGATCAGAGGTAGAAATGTATAGGACAATATGATAAATATATCCTAAAATTGTATCAATATACAAAATGTCTTAAGCAGAGGTAGAAGCATGCATGCATGCAATATGACAAAATAACTTGGCTTTGGTGTACAAATATTGTAAACAGAAATAGCAGAATATTCAATATAACAAATATTGCTTGAATTTGTATCAATATACAAGCATCTATACCAATGTAAATTGCCTATAAATAATAAATCACAAGTATTTACTCTATTACTCACTATTATTATTAGTGAGAGTAAGATTACACTGTTCTACCTATTATTCCATCCAATTTTCCTTTTTTTCAAAGAGATCCTTGAACCCACTTAATTTCCACCCCACCCCGATATCAGTTATAATCAACCCTATTTGATGTCCCCAATCCTGAGGACAAACTTTGTTGGGAAAGGGGACGTCGTCTTCTAGAATTACTTCCAGCTGTCATGGGGGTGGTGCTCTTTCTATGGGATCCTGTGAAAGTAAAATAATGGTTAAGTTCCAAGATTACTGTCTGGTATTATTGCAAATAGTCTCTGAATATTCTGTAGGGTTTTTCTGGTGTTCCTATTTGAAGTTCTGGCCAACAGTTAACCAAGTTGAAACCATCTTGAGCAGCTGGTACCCAAAGCGGTCTTATACAAGTATTATCAGCATCATGACATCATTTCAACCAGGTAGAGTCATTGTTGTGGGGGTCACATCTTCTTCCTGGAAACTTCAGAGATTGCTGCAGGAAAATTCATTGTTCACTGTGGAATACTTAAACATTATTTATATAGACATATATTCAACAAAAGGTATGATAGAGACAAAAATAGGTATGGAGGAAAGTAAAAGTTTTCCTAAATTCTTTCTTCTTTTTGTCCCATACCAGATGGCTCCTGACATGAGACAGAAACTCTGATTTTTTTTTATTTTAACAACATTCTTGGACTTAGAAAAGGACAGTTATTGTCAAATTCCAAAGCCAGTTTTGATTTCTAAGTTATTTGTGACTATTATTCTACTGGGCAGCATATATACATATATATACACATATCAGTGATTTTTACACTCAGATGACCTTTCCTAATAAATCATAATTCTCTTTGCTTGGTGATCCTATCTGGAGAGTTATCTTTTCCTCTTTAGGCATCTAGATGTTCAGGGTCTCTTGACTTTTTGAAGATGCATATTTTCCTGCAAAGATAAGAACAGAACCCTGCCCCAACCCTTATTGGTGTGGGAGAATTGTCTGTAATATGTCAATCACGTTTTAAATAAACGCTGATTGGCCAGGCAGGAAGTATAGGTGGGAAAACCAGACAGGAAGTAGAAATGATGCAATGAGAACAGGAGAATTCTGGGAAGGAGGAAGTTGATTCTTCCCAGTCCTGCGCAGACCACCGAGGAAGCAGGATGTGACCTGTCCCACTGAAAAAGGTACTGAGCCACATGGCTAACATAGATCAGAATAATGGGTTAATATAAGCTACAAGAACTAATAAGTAGCCTGACCTAATGGGCCAATCAGCTTTATAACTTATAGAGATCTCTGTGTGGTTTTCTTTGGGGCTTGCTGGCTGTGGGGTACTGGGCAGGACAAAAAACCCCAACAAGCCGGTCCCTCAAGTTACATGTATGAAGTTTCCTTACCACCTGTATGGTTGTTACCTCTGTGGATAAGCCATCATTTCTCTTTCTCAAGAGGTTTCTCTTTTTCAAAGTGAATCTTTACTAATTTTGATAGTATTCATAACTTTCTTCTCCTGTGGAAAAAAGAGCAAAACCCCTTCCCCAACATAGCATATCTCCTGGTTTCCATTGTGAGATCAACACATCCTCAAAATACACTAGCTGATTTAATTCAGAAGTTTTTTCTATTATTGAAAGTCTCTCTGCTGCCATTGTTCCTTTCTCATTAGCATTAAGGAAAACTCAAGGTTAATAAAGCATTATGAAATCTATTTCTGGGAATATTTTTCATCCCTTTCTTTTTATTTAGCATATCCTTTATAGTTCGATTTAATCTTTCTATAACTGCCTGACTTGTAGGATTGTTTGGTATACCTGTAATATGCTTTATATTATAATAAGCAAAAAACAGTTTCATTTTCTTAGAAACATATGTTGGACCACTATCTGTCTTTATCTGTGCAGGTATACCCATGATTGCCATAAAAAAATATAATAAGAGTTCTTAATAAAAAGCTCTTAACAAAAGTCAATTCCTTTACTGAATCAGCCTTTTCTGAGCTCAAAGCATTTGTCACTGAAAACCTGAATAAGTGTCAAAGGTGTGGTGTGTATATTTTAATTTTCCAAAATCTGCAAAGTAGAACACATCCATTTGCTAAATTTCATTCCTTTTTGTGACCTTTGGGTTACTCCCTGCAGATAGCAGTGTTTGTTTATAGAAAGAGCAAGTAGGACATCTCTTTATAGTCTCCTTATCTTGTTGTGATGTAATAAAAAAAGTTTTCTTTAAACCTTTGCTATTGGCATGATATTTTTTATGAAATTCTGAGGCCTTCAGCACATCTCCAATTGACAATCAATCAATTTCTGCATTACCTTGTGCTAGAGGATGTGGCAGACCTGTGTGGGTTCGGATGTCTGTTATGTATATGGGACAAAACCTATTTCTGATTATATCTTGAAGCCGTATGAATAATGAAGTCAATACTTTATCATCTGGCATAAATTCAGTGGTTTCAATATGCAAGACAACTTTTCTGCATAATGCAAACAAGTAACTGTATTGAGAGGTTCTTTAAAATTCCTTAGTACCATGAGAATAACATATAATTCTGCCCTAAATCTTCTGATTTGTAACCTGTCTTCCCTGATTTATTTGCATCAGTATAAAATGTACAGGCTCAGGTTATTGGTGTGTCACATACAATGCGGGGAAGAATCCAAGTAGTTCTCTTTATAAGCTTAATTCTATCACTTTGGGAATAATTGCTATTAATTTCTCCTAAAAAGCTCTTTGCTAGGGTTCATTATCTTTCCACAATTTTTTAAATTTCATCAGTAGTAAAAGGCATTATAATCTCTGCTGGGTCCATACCTGTTAGTGGACGAAGCCTCAGTTTTCATTTTATAATACATTCAGAGATTTTTTCACATAAGTTTTTAATTTTTTACTTGGTTTATGTGGTAAAAGATCCATTCTAAGATAATATCTTCTCTTTGCATTAAAAGTTTTGTAGGGAAAATTCTGGAAGGTAATATGACTAGTATATAATTAAGATTTGGATTCACCCTATCCACATGTGCCTCCTGTAATTTTTCTTCAACAACAATCAATTCCTTTTCCACTTCAGCTATTAATTCTCTGGAACTACTTAAGTCTTTGTTACCATCTAAGGTTTTGTTTAAG